AATTCGATTTTTAGTTTATTCTTTGATCGAACAATGCAATCGATTAAGAAATCGATCACACGTGATCAATCAAATAAATCGATTTTTAATCGATCAAGTAAGTAAGAGATCGACCAAATCATCGATTATGATTTTTTTTATCAATTAAATGCCCTAAGCCCTCCTTCCGTTTATTGCATTTTATCGATCTCTCTGCCTTAGCTATTCACTTTAACAGTATTCGAAGTTTTATTAGCTCGTTAACAACAAATATGTCGAACGAACGTACTTCGGCTACAATTACCGCATCTATGAGTTTGGCAAAGGCTTTTATAATGTAATTAAGAAAATTATACACTAAAATATTATTATTTATTGTTGATAAGAGAATTTAAAGAGAGGTTGAAATTAGAAGTGTTGGTTTGAGAAGTTCAAAAATTTAATAAAATCACTTTTAATCATTTGAAATAAACAGAAACAAATTATTTAATTGTCATCGATTTCAATTACAATATTTTGTTTTTCTACCACATTTTTTGACTTGTTTCCTTCGTCAACCTCATCAACATTTTTATCTAGATTTAAAAGGATTCTAATTTCATCTTTAAATTTAGAAAATAAAACCTCACACTCAGCTTTTGACATTGGACCTTCTGTAATTTCCTTCATCTTGGCCAGCCCTCTTAATTTGTCAGAAATTTTTGTTGAATGATACGATACTGGATTGTTATCTATGTCCATAATCTTTTGTTGAACCTCTCCAATCGGCATCTGATAGAATCTATAAAATAAATAAAATAAAAATGGGTGAGCGTCCCATTATTTGTGCACGTGGAATCAATAATTCCAAATAATTTACATCATATCCGGAAACCAATGTCGCCACCTTCGTTGATTTGGAAGCAAGAGGAAAAGCTCTATCTCAGCCACAATTTTTGCCTTTTGAAGTATGAACAGGAAATGTGTTCTATTTCCTTCGATTTCCAAGTTAAGCAACCCAATAAATAAATTCATAAGATAAACCACAATCAAGAATGAAAACATAACTAGCAGTATCGTCATGAATGGATTTTCCTGATAAGACCATGAACCAAGTGATGAATAATCCCCCGTTAAAAACAAATACATGGCCATTAGTGAGGTTGAATAAGTGGAAAATAGATTTAACTTTGAATCGGGTCTTTGAATAAAGGTTGTTTCGGGACTGATATCACCATTTGGAGTAACTGATTGATATTCCGTAACGAGATTCCAGGGATTATTCGGATCGTCATCTTTAACAGGTACATTCAAATCATAATCATGATTTGGTGTCAAAATAATAAAAAAAGCATGTGCAAAACCAATAATGATAATAAGTAAGATCAATAAGAAGGAAAGTATCCTCTTGGCCACACCAACGATGATAGTTAAATTGGAGCCAAAGTAATCAAGGGCTCGCAAGAATGTTATAAATTTAAAGTACAAGAATAGATTTGATATGGAAATCAACGCCGGGGAAGGTTTTTCATGATCAGTTAACCAAAAGAAAGCGGTGCATATTGGGAATATAATTGCAGCAAGATCTGTAATAAAATAAAACAAATATATGTATACACATTTTTTTTTATAAATCCCATCAAACATTATACATACCGAACAAATTCCATATATCTTTCACATATCTACTCGGTTTCCAGATAAATTGTCTAATCTCGTGAGTAAGATGAAAGAAACCAACGGTAATGCTCGTATATAAAATAATATGTCTCGTCTCACTTGAAATACTAGATGAAGATAATGTTGAACCTACTCCGAAAGAGAACATAAACAAGTTAAATGATCCCCAAAAAAGATAAAAATAAAACCATCCATAGGCATTCCATTTGAAATTAAGTAATGCCTCAGCATTCCATCCATCATAGATGGTTTCGTCAGCCAAAGTAACAAACGGGTTGTCACTTGGTCTTAGCAATTCCTTCCAGAAATTGTAATCAGATGGATACTTTGTAAAGCCTAAGTAAGGAACGACAAATCTAGCGACCCTTCTTCTTGGTTTATCTTTCTTACTAATATATTGGATATATTTTACAAAGGCTCGACTGATTAGCAAAATTCGTTGAATGAAATAACTCTCTATACGATTATATACTTGTAGAGTATGAGCTTGATACGTATAACCAACCAGTTTCAATTTACTGGATAAATAAGATTCATTGATATATGGAGTTGGAATTAACGTGGTATCAGCAATGAACATTGAGTAATAAGTGGGTATATGTAAATATAATTTTGGCAGATATTTTGTGATAAGATCACAAAATCTATAATTCTTCGTAGGATCCGTATTTTCTTCAGTCGCTTCATATATCTTGTCAAGGCAAGCAATTAGCTTTGCCATTTTTTTCCGACCACATTTTTTTCGATTAATGGAACGATTGATGATGTCATCGCTCATTTCTACGAGATATTTTCTTGAACTTAAAAGTTCATTAATCAAGTCTACAATACTCTGTAACGGTAAATATAGTTTTAACCCCTTCAAGATTGGGTTTGGAAGGGTTTTACTCGTAATAAAGTCATTAGTATTAGGATAGTAATATCTAGGAACAATCCTATTGGTTTTTTCATCAAAGCCTAAAATATAAATGCCACAACAATATAATGCTACATCATCATTACTTAAGAGTTGAAGATGTGTGAATTGAATATCTCTAATAAATTTAAAACTATTTTTCTCATTACTTTGCATTTGATCTTTCTTATAAACTTTCAATTTGGAATTCTGGAATTCCCATATCAAATTTTTCCCTTCACAACGGGACATTTTATCCAACTCTCTGATACCATCTTTGAAGATATTGAAATTAAGATAAATAAATAGGTTGTGATCATGCTTCATCTGATCATATAACTTTTCCACAGGAATTTTAAATTCAATCAATTCGATTCGATTCCCGGTAGCAATCATAAGTAGTAATTGTGATTCTGTTGAAGTTTCTACAATCATGTAATACTGAATGGATTTTTGAATACGATGTTCATCATTAACCGCGTATGAGAGTTCATAAGGTGACATGATCGTATATTTAATTTTGTCCTCAACTCTTTTATGCAACATCAAAATGTCGGTATTATTGAAGTTAATAAATTGTATTCTTTGACCTTTCTCGTACAGATCTTTTCCTATATAAAATTCCGTTAATAAATTCATTAAGAAAAAATAAATAAACTTGATAGCTTAAAATTTGCTCACTTGATGATATTAATATTCCATTATTCATTGAGAATACATATGTATGAATTTCTTCTTTGTACGTTGAACATATTGCTAATAAACTTCCTTCCTCATTTATCGTCCCCATCCAACCACAATTCGTTGGATCATTGAGCTGTTCTTTTTTAATGTTTGGAATGATGTAGTGATTTTCAATTTTCATTGTTTCGGTGTTTAATAAAAGTATGACGCCGTCAAGGGCAAGAAAAATTTGTTCATTTTTTTTTTCAATACGACTAACGTTTATCATTTCTATACCGAGATGACCAATCGTTGGGATTCTATATGAACCAGAAGATTTTTTTGAATTTTTTAATGAAGCTTTTGAATATACATTTACACTTGGTGTCAATGGTAACGATTTCAATAAAAAAAAAAGAAACCGCCTTTTTTCCTTAAGTAGCCAATTCAATAAATGTTCTCCATTTAAGAGATCCCGTATACGTATTTTTTCGTCTTGTGAACGAGAATGTTCCTCTTGTAACAACGGTATCGATAGCAATAAAAGGTCATCATTTGGGAGAAACCGTAGATGTTTTTTTTCGACAAGTAAACTCTTTTTTTTGTCAGATAATGGTTTGGTAATCGGACTAAATTTGGAAGCTTCCAAATCCCGGAGATATGGATTATCATCACAAAAATAAATCAATAATTTATCGTTTGATAATTCTAGTAACTCTTTTGATTCGTGCAAAAGGACTGCTTCGTTATTGTCTATTACGTCTCTTTCGATTATTTTATCATTGAAATCAACGTTCCACAAAATCAATGAATGATCTTCATGACTTGTAACGAAATGTTTCATATTCGTTGAAATAACGAACGATTTAATTGTTGCAATTTCGGCATCATCTGGATTAATATCATTAGACATAATGTATTTTCTGAATTGAAAATTAATTTAACGAACATTTATATATATACGCCAGCAGATTACACAAAGATTTCATTTATAATATAAATCACATAAAAGTTTATTGAAAGTTCCTATATCCGTTTTGACTTTCACTTTTTGGGAATAGTGTGGCAAAGTGATCAGCATAGTGGCACGGGTACTGTAAATCCCGGGGTCCCGCAACTTTTGTACAAGCCTCAAAAATTATTATTTTTTTTTTTTGTTCTTTTTATACGTCCAACAAAAACCTTGTACAGCAGAAAATATTAATCATAGTAAATCGTGTGATCTGACATAAATCTAGGTGAACCTTATACTGTATGGTAAGAAATTATAATTCCCAAAATTATTGCTATCGTTATACAGTATATTGTATATTGATATAATTTTCAAACAAATAAATTTTTGGACTAATTTTGTATCTTAGAAATTTAAAATTTGCTCAATACTAATGCGCAGTAAGATTATTTCTTTGTTTTTTTACTTTTTCGGCAATGATCGAATGATTTGATTTACACCTTTGTTTATCAGTTTGTATTGCATCGGAAGTAATTTTTCCTAATAATAATTTATTTATTTTTTTTTTTGCTTTGTCGATCGCTCCCTTTACGATCTGTCGAATCATTTGTTTTAAATTTTTCTTTTTTATTTTACCTTTTTTATTTTTACTTAAATTTTTATTAATTTTTTTTTAAGGGTCAAACTGCAACATTGATTGAATAAAATAGGTATGCTCTTTATTCTTAGGTCCTTCAGGTTATCATCTGAAAATTACCACGTGACTAAATTTTATCAATATTGAAATGGTAGTATACTTATATTTTAATACTAAATTTTAATTGAATCATATTGAATCATCCAAACCTTACGTTAATTTTAATTGATTTTTAATTTCCGCTTATGAGTTCAATTGCTTTGGATTAAATAACATGTTAATTTTTTTCGTTATTGTTGATTTGTATTCTAAATTTCTTTTTTTTTTTTATGATTTATTAAAACTTATTTAAAAAGAAAATTCAAAAGGAATATTCAAAATTTAAGTATCACTATCTAAATTAATAAAAAGAGAAAAAAATTCTTCGAAATAACAAACGTGATAGGTTTGATTAAAATATAATTTAAATCTTGTAGATCACTGTATCTAGCTATATTTTGTAAATTGATCAAACATCCGCTTAGCACGTGACAAAAAAAAGTATTTTAATGATTTGAAATACAAATCAGAGTATGAACCGAACTGCTTAACGTAAGATTTATAGTACACTTTTGAACAGTGTTGACTGGTTTTTATCTTGGAACTAAATGATGTCATAAACCTGATTTATTATATTGT